GAAAGATAAGGAAGGTCACTACATATTTGTCATGGGAAACACCCAACATGAAGATTCAATAATTAACATTTATGCACCCTACCAGAATGCTCCTCAATTCGTAAAGCAGACTCTAATGGATATGAACAACTTGTTATCTTCCTGCACTATAATAGTTAGGGCTTTTAACACTCCTTTAACAGTTCTGGATAGATCCTATAAGAAGAAACTAAACAAAGAAATATTACACTTAAACCTGACCCTAGAACAAACGGACTTTACAGACCTCTACAGAACATTTCACCCTAATAAAACTAAATATATAATCTTCTCATCAGCCCAAGGGTCATCCTCCAAAACAAATCATATCCTAGGACACAAGTCTAACCTCAGCAAATTTAAAAGTATAGAAATTACTCCTTCTATCTTCTCGGACCACCATGGAATAAAAGTTGAACTCAACAGCAATGGGAATCTTCCTACTCAAACAAAGTCATGGAAGCTAAACAACCTTAGGCTGACTGATAGCTGGGTCAAAGATGAGGTTAAGAAGGAAATCACCACATTTTTGGAACTAAATGATAGAGAAGACATAAATTATCAAAACCTGTGGGATACTGCAAAGACAGTCCTAAGAGGGAAATTTATAGCACTGGAAGCCTTCATCAAGAAAACATAAAGAGAGGAAGCCAACAACTTAATGGATCATCTCAAGCAACTGGAAAAGGAAGAACATTCTGACCCCAAACCCAGCAGAAGAAAAGAAATAACCAAAATTAGGGCAGAATTAAATGAAATTGAAAATAAAAGAATCATTCAGAAGATCAATGAAACAAAAAGTTGGGTTTTTTTGAAAAGATTAACAAAATTGATAAACCTTTGGTCAACCTAACCAGAAATAGAAAAGTAAAATCTCTAATATCATCTATCAGAAACAATAAAGGAGAAAAAACAACAGATACTTTAGAAATTTAAAAAATCCTCAATGATTACTACAAAAATCTTTATTCCGGCTTGGCACCTGTGGCTCAAGTGGCTAAGGCGCAGCCACATACACCTAAGGTGGCAGGTTCAAATACAGCCCGGGCCCACCAAATAACAATGACGGCTACAACCAAAAAATAGCCAGGCGTTGTGGCGGGCACCTGTGGTCCCAGCTACTTGGGAGGCCAAGGCAGGAGACTCGCTTGAGCCCAGGAGTTGGAGGTTGCTGT